TTAAAACAGATCTTTATTTTACTATCAATACCACACATATACTATCGGTACCACAAAATACTATCGTCTGACTTTCTAGATTTTTTCGGCATGTTTTTTTTTGTTTGATCTGACTACTGACTGGCGTAAAGCCACTAGAAAGTAAAGTTTTGTTTTATTTATTTAAAATTGTACACACTCGAAATCTTACAACTGACCGAACGCTGGATCGGCTGGCGGGCGTGCCGGAAGACAAGCTGGTCGAGGCCCATGGCAGCTTCCACACCAACTACTGCATTAAGCGTATAATGGAATACGGCATTGCCTGGATGGAGGAGGAGATCTTCGCTGATCGGCTGCCCAAGTGCACGGCATGCAAGAAAATTGTGAAGCCGGATATTGTTTTCTTAGGAGAAGACTTGCCCGAGAAGTTCCATAAAAGTTTGGATGGAGACTTCAAGGAGTGCGTTCTGCTGAGCATCATGGGCACCTCGCTGGAATTGCATCCGTTTGTAGCTTTGGCGTAGTACCCTGGACCGCGCTGTGTGCGTCTCTTGATCAATCGCGATGCCGTGTGTTGTCCCAAGTTTACCACCTGGATGGAGGACCAAANCGACTGTCTGCGGCAGCATCCAAATGGTACTGGGCTCGACGAGAACAGCGAGTAATGTGTTGACTTAGCGGAGCAGCATTCAAATGCCACTTTCACCCACCTACGTCGAGGATCTCAGGTACTTTATCCGATTTTGAGATATATTAATTAGTATTGATTCAAGTTCATCCCACGGTAGAGTGACCGATGAAAACAGCGCTGGCGCAGCACAGCTCATTGATCAGACGATGAACATCAGACAGCACATCCCTTCTTGTGAACTCCTCTCTCGAGTTCGAAGTATCGGCATTGTGGATGGTTCAGCAGAACAGCAGGTTCAGGACAGCCCAATCGATGCTGCCCAGGCAAGCGGCAGTGACCCTCCTTCTAGAGCGAATAGAGAAAGACCACAGTCTGAATGGTCTTGCCGAGGACCATCTCATCGGCTAGAATGGTGTCGATGGCCTGTCGAGGCTCTTCAGGTACTTTATCCGATTTTGAGATATATTAATTAGTATTGATTCAAGTTCATCCCACGGTAGAGTGACCGATGAAAACAGCGCTGGTGCAGCACAGCTCATTGATCAGACGATGAACATCAGATAGCAGGCTGCAGCTCCAGCTCGAAAACATCATCACTTCCGATTTTGTGAACAAAGTACCAAGCGGATGCTGCCGCAGACAGTCGTCATTTTGGTCATCCATCCAGGTGGTAAACTTGGGACGACCCACGGCATCGCGATTGATCAAGAGACGCACACAGCGCGGTCCAGGGTACTACGCCACAGCTGCAAACGGATGCAATTCCA